GTGTGTGTGTGTGTGTGTGTGTGTGTGTGTGTGTGTGTGTGTGTGTGAAATTTCCAACTTCTTATCTCCAACTCTCAGGTCTTTTGCCCTAGGTAGCTTCTGCCCCCTTCTTTGCTTAGCCTCATCCAGATGGGTTCTTGCCATCTGTGCCTCCTTTAGAAACCTCCCTTTCCGAGCATCAAGGGCTTAGGGTATTGGAAGCTGGTGGCTGCTACCCATGCCACCGTCAGCAACATCAACACAACTGCTCTCTTGTTTCTATTTCAAGTTTTTCATTATGAATATTTTGAACATATACACAGCAGATAAGCAATCCATCAAACTTTTCCTGTGCCCATGATGCGACTTCAGAGAGTTCTGAGGTCTCACTGTGTAGCCCAGGCTCGCCACCAAATCCCTCTGCCTCAACCTCCCAGGTGCTGGGATCATGGGTGTGTATCAGCACACCCAGGTCTCAGCTTTGATCTTCTGTTATTCTTTCCATTCATTCCACATTCCACAGCCCCCCCCATTTGTTGGAAGCATAGTCATACACTCTGTCTTTCAACTCACAAATACTTAGGCTGTATCTCTAGCTGTTAAAAAGGTTTTAAATATAATTCCATTATCATAGTTAACAAAATTCACAAAAATTCCTCATTATCTCCAACATTTGGTGTATTTTATTTTCTCTGAGTCTTCCAAAAACACTGATTTGGTCAGGCGTGGTGGTGCAGGCTTATTGTCCTAGCTCCTGGGAGCATGAGGCAGGAGGATCACAAGCTTAAGGCTTGCCTGGGCTACACAGTGAGTTCAAGAACACTCTGGGAAACTTAGTGGGGCACTATCAGAAATATATAAGCTACAAATAGGACTTGGCTGTAGCTCAGCATAGAGCACTTTGACTTATGTGCATGAGGCCCTGGGTTCAATCCTCCATACCACCACCAAAAAATATGAATAGATTAAAAACTGTGGGCTGGAATATGATTCACACGTTACACTTGGCCCTCTTTTTCACAAGTGGCATTTTAATAACAGCCAGCCACTTTTCTCTTTTTTATTTCGTCTTCTTCTTCCTCATCTCTCCCCCATCTGTCTGTCTGTCTGTTTCTCTGTGTGGTGCATGTATGTACATCTGTGTGTATGCGTGAATGTACATGTGGAAGCCAGAGGTTGATCTTGAGTGTCTTCCTCTATTACCTGGCACACTCTGTTCTGAGCCAGGCTCTCACTGAATCTGGAGCTCACTGACTGGCTAGGCTGCCCGGTCAGCAAACTGCAGGGGTTCTCTTGGCTCCACATCCCCAGTGATGAGATTACATGTCCATGCCACCATGCTGGTGTTTTACCTGGGTATTAGGGGTCCAAACTCAGGTCCCCGGCTGTAGGCAAAGTGTCTGTGTCTTGGCAGCTGCTCCCAAATATCCAGAGACTTATTCATTATAAATGCCTGGCCGATGGCTTAAACCACTGAGCTATTGCTTCAATCCAATCTGACCTCAAGCTCAAGATGACCTTGAACCCCTGGTCCTCTTGACTTCTACCGTACTAGGGATTGAACCCAAGGCGCTGTGCATGGTAGGCAGACACTCCGAGTTACACCTTTAGTCCATCCTCTAAAGGGCTCAGATCTCACAATCCAAGCTTTCTCTTACAAGGTTACTCTCTCAGGGATTCAGCCAGCCCTGTCCTTGTCATGAGCTCTGACATCTCCACCTCAGTCATTTCCTTTTCCTTTCTGGTGACCTCAGCAGCCTAAATTTTCTCACCTTGGCCACCTTTCTTTCTGGCCTCACTCTCCGTATGTCTCTCCTTCATAGGTATGATGTTAGCTTCAAAGTCTGTAGCCATGGCCTGGTCTTTCCTGTGGCCTGATGTCTTGCCCCTGCCTCACCTCTTGATGTGATGTCATACCACCTCCTGTGCTGGGGACACTTGTCATCACCTCACCCCCAGTCCCTTCACTGAGCAGGCTCTTACCTGAGCTGGCTGAGACATCATCTCCTGAACTCCCACATTAAGGTTGATCTATCTGAGCTGAGCGACCAGAGGAGAGGCAATTCAGGATCTGGACGATCTGGGAGGCGGTGAAGGGTTCTCTGGGGCCCACTCCCCCTAGTACCCGCCATCCTGGGTCTTGGAGCCTGCTTCTAACTGACATCCCGTGATGCTTTCTTGGCAGCAATGAGTTCAGCAGGCTGGTTGCTGGGGAGTACCTCAGTTTCTTCGACTTCTCAGGCCTCACGCTGGACAGAGCGCTCAGGTCAGTGGGGTTGGGCTGGGACAGTGGCCACAGGTGGTAGGACAGCACACCTGGATTGTCATTCCAGGTCTATCGTGACTTGCTGCACAACTTTTACCCCTCTGGTGAAGCTGTAGGAAAGGGAAACCATGGGTAGCAGGTGTCCGACAACTCCGTGAATGCCAGCCAGTGTGATGGTTGCTCAGGATATGAAGGTGGAAGTGTGGTCGTGCCTCTTAGGGCTTGCATGTGTGGAGCACTCCCTGCCGGCTGGATGCCAGAGGTCTTCATACACCTGGCCTGCTTTGACCGTAAAGGGGACTTGATTGTCGCTGTTTCAGTGTTTGGGCCACAGGAGGGTCAGTCGAGGGCCTTGGGAGGAGGGCTGGAATGTAGCCCAGAGTCATGCAGAAAGATGTTAGGCCAGGCCTGAGGAGGCAAGGGCAACGTCTCCAAGCTAAGGGCTGCGCCCACAGATGTTGGATCCTCTTATATGTCCCTTATACCTAAATGCACACACACACACACACACACACACACACACACACACACATTATATATATTGTTTTTTCAAGACAGGATTTCTTTGTATCTCTGTAGGGTGAGCCTGTACTGGAACTAGCTCTTGTAGACCAGCCTGGCCTCGAACTCACAGAGATCCGCCTGCCTCTACCTCCTGAGTGCTGGTATTAAAGGCGTGCACCACCTCCGCCCTACCATTTATAATTATTTTTAAGATTTATTTTTTTTATGATGTATACAGTGTTCTGCCTGCATGTACACCTGCACACCAGAAGAGGGCACCAGATCTCATTATAGATGGTTGTGAGCCACCATGCAGTTGTTGGGAATTGAACTCAGGACCTCTGGAAGAGCAACCAGTTCTTTTAACCTCTGAGCCATCTCTCCAGTCTCCATCTCTTATATTTATTTATTTATTTATTTATTATGTATACAATATTCTGTCTGTGTGTATGCTTGAAGGCCAGAAGAGGGCACCAGACCCCATTACAGATGAGCCACCATGTGGTTGCTGGGAATTGAACTCAGGACCTTTGGAAGAGCAGGCAATGCTCTTAACCTCTGAGCCATCTCTCCAGCTCCCTCTCTTATACTTTTTAAAAATCAGTTTTTATTCTTTTTCCCTCTGTCTCGGTTGGGATATTTTCTGTTGGCTTTCAGTATACTTGCCATTCTGCTATGTCCAGTGCATCACTGAAGCCAATGAACTTACTGAGGGACTGGAGGGATGGCTGTACATGAGTAGGAAGGGTGAGGACCACAGGTTAGACCCCAGGAATCTATTAAATGCTAGGTGGGCCTGTTATCTGCCTGTAATTCCGTTGTGTGGGAGGCAGGACAAAGGGGAACCCCGGAGCAAACTGGCTATCTAGGCTGCCATATCAGCATGCTCTCTTGGTCAAATGAGAGACCCCCTCCCCCCGCCTCAATATATAAGGTAGAAAGCAACTAAGGAAGACACTTGATGTCAACCTCTGGCCTCTGTGTGCTCGTGAACACACACGCATCTACACAAACTGAGGCACAACCCCCTCAGGTATGCATACTACACATGCGTACATTCCCGCCAAAACCTCGTTAAGTTTTTAATTCTCAGTTACATTTTACAGTTCTAGAAGTTCCATCATATTTAAGCTTTAAAATAAATTTCAGTTCCATGTGGGACTCCCCATCTTTTTACTAACTCATCTGAATCACATATATCTGTGGTTTCGTAGTGCATTTGTGATTTGTTTGCATGTGTATGTGTATGCATGTGTGCACGTGTAGGCACATGTCTGTAGAGGCTGAGGTTGATGTCAGAGTCTTCCTCAATTGCTCTCCACCGTGTTATCTGAGGTAGAGTCACTCAGGTGAACTCAGGGCTCACGACCTACCTAGCAAGCTAGCTTGCTCCAGGAGCACCCTCTCCCTGCCTTCTGATCGCTGGGATTACAGGGAGTCGCGTGTCTGCCTGACAACTGCAGGCTCTAGGGATTTGAACTCCACACTTCATGCTTGCATGGCAACCGCTCTGTTCTCTGAGCCGCCATCTCTCTAGTCCTCACTTTGTGTCTGTTTCTGTTTGCTGCTTGTTCTCTTGGGTTTCCAGCACCTCTTCTGTCTCTTAGTTTGCCCAGCCCTTCCTTTATAAGGCAATTGGAAAGGGACATGGGACACAGTTCCTCAGTCAGGGCTGACTCTGAACTTTAGCCTTGCATGGGGAGCCTGCTGTGTCGTTGGGACTGCTCCCCTTGGCGGTGGTGAATCCTCACTTTACCACCTCCTTGCAGCAAAAATGCCCCCTCCCAAATCCCTCTACTTCTGGAAGGCTTTCTGCTTAACTTCGCAACTCCGTAACTGCCATGCCTTCAGAGTCTAGCAACTGTGTGCTCATGTGCTTACAGCCCCTCAAGACCCCAGATTTGTTTTTCCAGCCCCAAGAAAGGATCCAATGCAGTGCCTTTTGCCCAAGGGCTTTGTTGGCAATGCACCCAGGGAAAGGGTGGATGTCCCGTGTCAATCTGCTCCATCTTGAGATTGTGGGCCTGTGGTTCTTGTTGCCTCACCTGTAGCTGAAGGAAGTGCTCTCTGCCACTGGTGGGGATGCATATTGCCCTGCTGCAAGCAGCTCCATCTTGAGCTGTGTCTTTGGAGTGCACCAAAATGAGGACGATCAGAATGACAGTGTTAAGTGGGACTGGCTTCACCATCAGAGGCGTGGGCGTTGGGCCGGGGACCTTGTATATTGGTTCCTAGAGTGAGGTTTTGCTGTCCAGAACCTGTAGAGCTGCAAAAGGCAACGGGTGCGGAGCAGCACATAGCAGTGTGCTAGCGGCCATTAATCCAGCGGTGTGAAGGTTTCCAAAGGGGTCTGGAGGGAGAGGACAGGCCTGAGGATGCCGTGGAGTGAGCAGGACAGATGGACAGAGCTTGCTCAGGAGATAGAGGGGAAAGCGGCTGGGACAGAGATAGTGAGAATATGGGCAATGGTGGGACTGAGCCCGGGGGTAGGCGAGAGTGTGGGGGAGGAGATGTGGGGCTTGTGGGGTTGGTAAAGAGCCCCTGGGAAGCAGGATCTGGAAGGATGGGGGCTAGAGTTTAGAATGTACAGTGGATTGGATCTGGAGAGATGGTTCAGAGGTTAAGAGCACTGGCTGCTTTTCCAGAGGACCCATTTTTTATTCCCAGCACACACAAAGAGGCTCAGAATTGTAATCTGTAATTCCAGTCCCAGGGGACCCACTGCCCTCTTATGGCCTCTGTGCATCTTGCACACATGTACATAGATGTACATGCAGACTCTCACATGTCCTTATCAAGTAAAATAAAAAGAAACACAGTGGGATATGAGGGACACAGTGAAGAGGACAGGATACAAGCCAGACAGGGAGAGGAGGAGAACCGGATTTTGGGTGGGGAATGTTTTTCTATAATAGTAGATCACTTAGGACTGAATTTCAGGAGCACTCTTCAGTTTGGAATGGCTTGGAGATCTCCAAGGGGAAATGTTGGCTGTAGGTCCCAGGGGTCTTAGGCACCTCAGAGATTGCAGGTATTTGGGCCATATAGCAAAGAAACTATAGAAAAACCAGGACATGTTGTCTTGTGAATCCAGACAGAGGCACAGACAGGTTCAGCTTGGGGTTTCCCTTCTCAAGGAAAGGGTGTGCTTAGGACCTGGGTGATTGCCTTTGGCCCCATCTTCCAGTCCCCCTGGTTTGGGGATCAGCTTCCAGGTATCCCTAAGAGTGAACTGACTTTTGAACTTGGTATTGAGAGGGATTATTAGACAGAAAGGCTGTCCCAGCGGGGTCCCAGCCTGCTCAGAGGCTCAGAATAGTGTTGCTCTGCCTGATTGTGAAGACGGTGTGGGGAAATAGCACTGGGTATGTAGTCCAGGGACAGGAGGGGTCTGGGCATCAGCAAAGCCACAGTATGAAGGATGTGGATGTTTCTCCGGGGTTTCTGGGGAGCCAGGGAAAGGTTTTGAGTGGCTGTGGGTGGGTTGAGATTGCCTATGTGTCTACAAGGCAGATATAATGTGTAGGATGTTAGCTGGGAGGTTGGGGTAGGTGCCCTGAGCACTTGATGAAGGTAGACTAAGGGGGAAGAGAAGGAGGAAGCAGATGAGGAGGAGAGATTGAGGTAAAGAAAAAGGAAGGCCAGGCCTGGTGGCACGTGCCTTTAATCCCAGCACTTGGGAGGCAGAGGCAGGTGGATCTCTGAGTTCAAGGCGAGCCTGGTCTACACAGTGAATTCCTGGACAGCCAGAGCTACATAGAGAGACAGTATCTCAGAACAAACAAACCACTCCCCACCCCAGAAAAATGAAGAACAAATCCCAGAGACTTGGGGTGGGGGAAGGAGAATGGAGGGGTGGGGGAAGGGGAATGGAGGGGCAGGCCTAGGGCTCAGCTGATGGAGAGCAGGGCCCAGGAAAAGCTGAAGAGGAACATCTGATGGGTGGGGCTGGCAGTCTAGGACAAACTCATAACTGGCTCTGAGGTGCCTGTCTGCCTTGTTCAGATCCATCCTCCTACCTGTTTCCAAAAAGGGAGCTGCAGGAACGAGAGGTGGGAGTGTGGAGAGAGAGAATCCAGAGGTCACCCTGGAGGGTTGGGGGTTCTCCTGGGCCTGCAGAGGGTGTCCAGACCCAGGTACTGGGGTACAGAAACACTGGTCTCATGTGTGTTTGTGTGTGGGGAATAAGTCTTCTATTCCAATGAGAAGATTGAATTAGGGGCTCTGAGATTCACTCAACAACCTTGAATTACATTCTAGAACCTTCCTGAAGGCCTTCCCACTGATGGGGGAGACGCAGGAGCGAGAACGAGTCCTTACCCACTTCTCCCGCCGGTACTGCCAGTGTAACCCAGACGACAGCACATCAGAAGGTACAACCCTTCCCGACCCACCTCCCCCTTTCCTTGCCTGGCTGAGTCCTGGTCTTCTCCCCTTCCGGTCACCTGTCACCTCTGTCCTGCAGGCAAACCCAGGTGGGCCATATGCAATGGCAAATACTAGGTGCTCAATTAAGGTCGAATGAGTTCAGTTGGGTGTGGTGACTCATACCTGCGATCCCAGGGATTGGTGGGAGGAGTCAGGAGGACTCTCTAAAGCCTGAGGTCAGCCTGGGCTACAGAGTGAGACCCTGCCTCAAAGACCAAAACAGTACAATGTCCAGTGACTATCAGATGGCCTGCTGGACAGGAGAGCCCCATGAGTCTTGCTCATTGTCGTTCTGTTCCCGGTGCCTGTAGGTCCTTCCTGCACTCAGTCCTTTAGCATGATCCGTGCTCCATGTCTCCCATCACGGCGCTGACTCTCTGTAGGGGAGGGGGAGTTCCATGCAGGTCACTTGCAGGGGAAGGACTTGCCATATGAATGAACCTGAATCATGGGAACTGAGGGACTAAGTCTCTTATTGCTCTTGTAGGGACATGGCTTGGGTTCAGAGCCTTTCCTAGGTCTAAGGTACAAGGTAACTTTGTCTGAAGGGGCAGACATCTGGGCTAGAGCCTCCCTAGGGTGGTTAGGGGTTCTGGGGAGTTGGGCATCACCCAGGTGCTGGCCCTGGAGTGCTTGGGGGGCAGATGTCTTCCTTAGGCTGACGGGTGGGATACCCTGAGTGGGAATGAGTGGGTTCTCACACTGAGAATCCATTGTGTTGTGTTTAGATGGGATCCACACGCTGACCTGCGCTCTGATGCTGCTGAACACAGACCTGCATGGACATGTGAGTAGGGACTGTCGAGGGCAAATGTGTTCTCCCTGTCTCCTGTCATTGAGGGCCAACGGTAGCCTTCCCTCCTGCTGGAACCGTTGATCAGGGACAGTGTTTTCTCCTGGCAGACCCGGGAGCTGGCTGGCTGCCTTGCTTCTAGATTTGACCCTGTCCTGGTTGTATCCACTGGTTCTGCCTGGGTTCTGGCTCCTAAGAATAGTGAGGACAGTTAGTTGAGGCTCATGGGAATTTTCCTTTTTGATTTTTGAGACAGGGTCTCTCTGTGTAGTAGCTCTGGCTGTCCCGGAACTCTCTCTGTAGACCAGGCTGGTCTCAGACTCAGAGATCCGCTTGCCTCTGCCTCCCAAGTGCTGGGATTAAAGGCATGTGCCACCACTGCCCCCAGCTGAGGCGCATGGGAATTTAAGACGCGGCAAGCAGATGTGCTATCAGGACACATCTGAGGTGGAGCCCATGCCTTGCTCTACCATGGCTGTCTGCTCTTCCATCTCTCTTCTAAAAGCCCAGATGTGGCCTTCCTGAAATGTCAAGCCCCAGACAGCTGGTCTCTGCCAATCAAATGTCAGGTGACTCTTAAGGGGGCTCCTCCTCACCCCTTCACTCTTGTCAGGCCAGTGAGTGGAAGGATAGGTGTGGGGTGCCCAGGCCCCAGGCTGCCTCCAGGCTTCCCATGCTCACTAATTCCTTCTTCCTTCCTCTGTTGGCTACTGCTCTGGGCGCCCCTGCCCTCCCTTCCTCAGGTGGTAAGTTCTATTGTCAGAGTATGCATGCCGTGTGCTTAGCCCTGCCTCCATCCCCCCTCGTGTCCTGTCACACCATCTGCCCCACCCAACTGCTCTCTGGCCATCACTCACTCAGGACCAGAAAAGTCCAGGCAATACGGGGTTTAAGAAAAATCTGGGCTAGACTAGCTTCCCAACTCATTCTTGCCTCCCTTGGGTAGCTATGGGATCCTGGGCAAGTCACGTTCCCCTCCGAGTCTCAGGTTCTGCATCTTCTCAGGCCAGTGGTGATGCCCTCTAGTGTCTTGGGGAGAACCAAGAGAGGCAGCAGTTCATGTCAAGTGCCAGGGCCTGACCCTGGCAAGGGTTTTGCTGTGAACAATGCTATCACGTGCCCGGTGGTATCCATTGCTACTCTTATAACTCGAGTGATGGACAACCCGTGGGTATATCATTGAGGCAGTCAGCAGCTGGAGTGGCTGAGGGAGAGGAGGAGTAGCCAGCTGGGTTTGCGGGCACAAGTATGTATATGATGTGTATTCTCCACGAGTGGAAGTGGACTGAACACCCTGCACAAGTCAGCTCTTTTCCCGAGCTCGCTCCCTCCGTTCACAGTGTCGTTAGCTACACACCCCTCCACACAGTGCCCGTTCTCCATGGAGAGACTCCCAGACGGTGGGCCTTATCTGGCCTGGACCCTTCAGCTGAGGAGGGAGCAGTGGTTGGATTGGGCCTCCCCACTGTTGCAGACTGAGCAGTATCTCCCCAGAAACAGTGTTGCTCAGCAAGTGGAGGAGAGGGACACATGGGTTAGGCTTCTCTGTGTTTGCCCTCAGCACAGCTGGTATGGCCTGGAACAAACCTCTTAACTCACCAAGCTTCTATTTGTTTCCCCATCTTGTAACCCCTGCCTGTGAGTCTCTCTCTCTCTCTCTTTTTAAAATGTATTATTTTATTTTGTGTGCTTGTGGTGTTTTGCCTGCATGTACGTGTGAGGGTGTCAGGTCTGGGTAGTGAAGCTCCTGGTGGGTGGAAGATCCAGGGGAAGATGCGGGATTTGACTCCTGTCTTTAAGGCTTCCTTCCAGGTGAGCCATAAACACAGGCTAGGATCATTCTTACCTCAGTGCCATGCCAGACTTTCAGAAAAAGGCTGGCTGCCCTGGGTCAAAAGTGGTTACCAAAGGTCACGCTCTGAATCACCACGGGTTAGCAGCTAATCCCAGCCTGCCTTCACTCTGGTCAAGGATGTGGGTTTAGGGAGATGTCCTGGCCTGAGAGAGCCAGGGTCACAGTCATGAGATGGTGCTGTGGAGAGACATCAAGGCCTAGAGCCAAGGGAGGTCCTGTTGATGAAAATGGGGGTGGGAAAAAGGAGATGCTGGGCATTCAGTGTTCCCAACCAGACGCCTTCTCGGGCTGTTCCATTTTCTGGGCCCCCTGTTCCTGTACACATCTTTTTGCCTGATGGCTGTTTATAAACATTGCTTTAAAGCAAATAACTTCTTTGGTGTGTCTTTTTTGTTCCCCCACACCTTGGTGAGTCTTGATTTTTGGCCTGGAGAGAGATGGACTGTAATGAAGGGTTTGACTTGGGGTGTGTTCTCTAGTGACTAGATGTTCCCCTATGGCAATGAGGCCAGGTGTTCCGTGTCGTGGAAGTCTCGTGTACACTCGCTGATTAGTGTACACCCATTGTGGTGAAATACAGTAGCGGGAGCTACTTAAGAACGCAGATGGCAGAGGCAGTGAGTGCGTGCCCAGCGGTGCGCACCCACTACTGACACATTCCAGAACTTTCCCTCACTCTCAGATCAGCCTCAAAACCACCAGCAGTTCACCTTCTCACCGCCCCCAGTCCCTGGTGGATTTGCTTGCCCCTGCCTGGGTCTGTCTCCTGTAGACACCTGGCCTCCCGTGTCGGCCTTATTTCGCTTGACATACTGTTTTCAAGGCTGGTTCATGCTGTAGCGTGTGTCAGTACTTTATTCTTGTTTAGGGATAAGTCGTGTTTCATGGCATGGAAAGGCCACATAGGACATTTATGGATATGCATGTGGGGTTGTGAAAATTTGTGTGTAAATTTTAGTTTGTACGCCTGTTCTCAATTTTTGTTGTTGAGACAGGGTTTCCTTATGTTGCCCTGGCTGGCCCGGAACTTGTTATTGTAGATCAGGCTGGACTCAAACTTACAGAGTTCTAAACTGCCTGCCCCTGCCTTCTAAGTGCTGGGATTAGGGACACGTGCTACCTACCACACCTGCCTCAATTATTTTTTTAATTATTTAAAAAAAATCTGTGTGTGTGTGCTTGTCTTGGGTACATGTGGAACTCAGAGGTCAACCTGGAGGAGTTGGTTCTCTTCTTCCTCTGTGTGGGTCTCCTAGGGTTGGGACTAAGATGAACAGTTTTGGCAACACCTTTACCTGCTGAGTCATCTTGCTGGCCTTAGTTTTTCCATCTCTTTTGGGTACATGCTCAAGGTAGACTTGCTGAATTATATATTTTTATATTTGAAGGTCTGGCACATTGGTTAAATATTTCCTATCCCCCCCAGAAATACATAAGGATTCCAGGTGTCAACGGCATTAACCTTTCTTACCATGTTGAAAATATTATTGACGTCTTGGTGGATATGAAACACTACTTCAGTTTTCCCGTTTGACTTTGGTGTGGTGCTGCGGAATGAGTCCAGGCTCTTGAGCATGCCCAGTGAGAGATCCAATGAGCACCTCTGAGCAACAATGGCAGCCCTGCTGAGGTTTTGATTCACCTGTCTCCATGACTACAGTACTGAGTTGCTTCCCATGTGTCTGACGGCCATTTGCGTGTGTTCAGGTCCTTTGCCCACTTTATTGTATTTATTCTCTTACTCTATAGTGTTGGCTGGGTACAAACTCACGACTCTCTTGACTCAACCTTTGAAAGTGCTGGCTGATGGGCATGCACCAGGCCTGGCTCCTATGTCCAGTTTAAATGGCTGTTTTTGTTGTCACATTCTGCTGGCTTTCTGTGTTTAGAACATGAGACCTTCATCAGGCATACGACCTGCGGTGTTTCCCCCCTCTTACAAGTTGTTCATGCATTCCTTCTCACTCTCTTGATAGAGTCTTGTGACATAGAACAGTTTTTAAAATCTGAATGACATCCCAATCTATCTTCTGCTTGTTTGTGAACCTGTGTGTGCTTATGTGTAGAGGAGGCCAGAGGTCAGTTTGCAATGTGATTCCTCTGGAACCATCTGTTGTCTGAGGTTTCTGTCCTGCCCGGTCCTGCAGTCATTCAGTCCCAAAGAATCCCACAGAGGTCTACATCAATTATAAACTATTGGCCTAGTAGCTCAGGCTTCTTATTAACTAATTCTTATAACTTACATTAGCCCATAATTCTTGTCTGTGTTAGTCACGTGGCTTGGTACCTTTTTCGGCGAGACAGTCACATCTTGCTATCTTGCTTCCTCTGTGGCTGGGTCACGACTGCAGACTGAAACTTCCCTCTTCCCAGAATTCTCTTTGCCATGCCTCTACTTCCTGTCTGGCTATTAAAACACAATTGAGAGGGTGCAGACCGTTGTCCAATAGCACTCATCCATCTTTTTTAAAAACGGTCTCACCAGAACCTGGGACTCACTGTTACATTAGGATGGCTGGCCAGGAAGCCCAAGGGATCCTCCAGTCCCTTCTTCTCCATCCCTGGGATTAGGGCATGCACCACCAGACCAGACTTTTTATATGGTGCTGGGGATTGAACCCAAGTCTTCATGCTTGCACAGCAGGTGCATTATTGACTGTGCTCTTGCCTCAGCCCTGCGGCTTTCTTTTTTGGTTTGTGCGTTGGGCATCATGAGTCAGCAACCATTGCCAGTGTTGTGGTGGCGCATGCCTTTCATCTTAGTAGTCAAGCGGTAGAGGCAGGTGGTACCTCTGGGAGTTTGAAGTCAGCTTGGTCTACATGTTGAGTTCTAGGTCAGTTAGGGTTACAAAGTGAGACCCTGTAGCAAGCAAGCAAGCAAGCAAACAAACAAACAAACATAAGAAGAAACAATCACCCGATCCAGGCTGTGAAGGTTTGCCCTGTTTTCTTCTGAGTTTTAGTTCTTCTATGTAGTTTTGACTTTTTCTTTTTTGTTTTCTTCAGCACTGAGGGTTGAACTTAGGGCCTCAAATGTGCTAGGCAAGCATTCTCCCACTAAGCCCCAGCCCTACGCTCAGTTTTAAATTCTATTCCAAGTAAAGACATACAATGTGAGATACAGATTCAACTCCATTCA